CCTACTTTTCTTTGTTTTCAGTCACCCAAAAAAGCCACAGACTTCCAGGCCATCCCTCATTCCTTTAACACTCATGACCTTATGGCTCTATACATCTGCTTTTAATTTCTGTCTCCTGCCCGCCTCCACCCCATCCTTGCTCTAGAACCTAGTGAGACAGCAGCAGAATCCCCTATACCCTCAGCCTCTTCCTTGAACTTTCCCGCTTTCTTTCCCCAGTAACACCTCCCTACCTTTTTTGAATATGTCGACTTTTTTTCTCTAATAACCTCTCGTACCATTGGGCCAAGAAATGGGACAGGTCTCTACCTTGCTCCTCATTTGCCACTTGCAGAAATCCTCCCTCCCTCTTCCATAGAAACCCCAGGTCTGAGTCTGACTAGACCACCCTCTGATCCTCCTCTGTGTAACCGTCTGCAAACACCTGAGTCTTTCCTTGAAGGCTACCTGTCACTCTTGAGAAGTTCTCCACAAATTCTTAACAATTTCATGTGCATAGTCCTTTCAGTACCCTGTCCTCTTAGTTCCCTGACCTCTTCCAATGAGCTCTCCTCCACCCTGTCACAGCCACCAATTCACATAGTCAATCCTACCTGTGTCCCAGCCAGTGCTGCCATCTCTTCAGAATCTCCATTTCAGGCACCTAACTCTGACTGCCACCTCCTCTTCCCAGTTCACTCCCTCTAATGCCCTCATTTTATAATTTCAACTCTGCAGACTTGCAGTCCTTTGATCCTCCCACCTTTTCCCTGTCCTTGACCACCCAACATCCTTTCTTTCCTCCATCCCCTGCTTACATCCCACAGTCCAACAGCATACTCGTTTCCTTGCCCCCACCTCAGTCACACTGACCAGATCTGGTTCAATCCAGCTCTCCCCCTGCTCTGAACCTTTACCTCCACAGCTCTGGATGGGTGGAGAAAACATGCAGACATACTGATTGGTCTCACTTTAAATTCATGATTGTTGAACTCATGTGAGCCTTAATACTAGTCTGCAAACCTGTTACGTTTCCTAGTCCATCTATTCTCCCACTTTCCTAGTAAAGCTGTTATATTTAATCAAATTAAGATGTCATCTGTTTTAAAGATTACCAATATTTTATGTACCTCTAAGAAAAATTACTGCCAGCTGTACTATAACATGCCATTAAATGTAAGATCCATCTCAACTTTGGAGTTGTTAAAATGGGGTAGGGAGTGGGGGATGTGCTTCTTAGAATGGATGGGATATATTTCATACCTTCACAAGAAGAGAACTTGCCTCAAAAATCTTCCCTGTCCTCACTTCAGCTGGTTACCTTGTTCTGTTGCACTGAGAAAATGGAAGCAATCAGAAGAGAACTTCCACTAGTCCTTGTCACATGGACCGAGGCCCATATACTCCTTCCTCCCCCACAGTCACTTTGGGTGAGCTGTCTGTTCTCCTGTCTACAGTCAGCCTCTCTCCTTGGGAACTGGATCCCAGCCTGTCTTGCCTAAGGATACCTTTTCAGCAGTTTTCCTCTCTTTCTCCTGCGTTATCAACTTTTCTTTGCTAGATCATTCCCATCAGTATCACAAGCATGCTGTAATCTCCTGCTGCTCGGGCAGGGGGTGAGGAGCAAAAACTCCCACTTGATTTTCCTGCTGTTTGTAGCAAGATTTCTTAGAAGACTTGTTTATATTCATTTCCTCTGCTTTCTCTCCTCTCAATCTGAAAACCTCTCCAGTCAGGCACTCCCCCCTATAGTCGTGGTCCTGCAGCCGCTCTTGGGAAGGTCCAGTAACTTTCTGAATCCAGAAATCAATTCTCAGTCCTTATCTTCTTGTTCCTGTTAACAGCATCTGACCCAGTTGATCTCTTCCTCTTCCTGGATCTCCTTTGTTCACTTAGCTTCCGGTACTCCTCCGGTTTTCTTCCTCCCTCAATGGTCACTTATTTATAATCTACTTTGCTGGTTCATCCTATTCTTCCTAACCTTTTGATGTTGGGGTATCCAGGGACTGGTCCTTGGACTCTTCTCTGAAGCACTGCTCACTCCTTTGTCATGGCTTTAAATACCGTCTGTACGTTGTTGACTGACTGACTCTTCGTTCTGGGCTTCACTTCTGAAATCCAGAATTGTATATCCAGCTTTCTGCTTAGCCGCACTTGGGTACCAGAAGCAGCTCACATGTAACATGCCTTAAACCAGACTCTTGACCTTAACTGCACACCTGTTCTTCCTGTGTTCCTCCTCATCTCAGTGAAAGACAGTTCCATCCTTCCATTTGCTCACACCAGAAATCTTGGCGTCTCCTTAATTCTTCTCTTGAAGCTCAAGTCCAGTCTCAGCAAGTTATGTTGGCTTTACGTTCGACATGAATCTAGAATTCAGCCACTGCTCATCTTCACTGTTACCACCTGGGTCCAAATCGTTCTGTCTTGTCTGGGTTACTGCAGTCACCTTCTCATTGGTCTCCCTGTTTCCACCCTTGCCTCTACCACCACCAGTCTTTTCTCAACCCAGCAGCCAGTATGATCCTTACATTTAAAATATAAGTCAGTTGTGTCGGTTAAATCACATCACTTAGTAAAAGCTATAGTCCCTAAATTCATCTTAAGGCTCTGCATGATCTGGACCAGTTACAATGTTCTCGCCTCGTCTCCCATTACGCTCCCCTTCAGTCACCCCACTGTGGCCTTGCTGTTCACTCTGCCTGGGATGTTCTACTCCAGTCACCTCCTATTTGCTCACTACTTCCTGCTGGTGTTTATTCAGGTATCACCTGCTCAGTAAGGCCTTCCCCAACTTCCCTGCTGACCCTTGCAAGATCCTATCACTGTCATCACTGCCATTTCTCGTCCCACTTCCCTGGTTTGTGTGTGTGTGTGTGTGTGTGTGTGTGTGTGTGTGTGTGT